CTGGTGCCTATGGTCCCCAGTACCTATGTTCCCCAGTAAATATTTTCCCCAGTACATATGTTCCCAAGGACCTATAGTCCCCATTACCTATGTCCCCTGGTGCCTATGGTCCCCAGTACCTATGTTCCCAAGTAAATATGTTCTCCAGTACATATGTTCACAAGGACCTATGTTATAAAGGGAAGCAATCAAAGGGAGTCATCTCTATGTTCCCTGGTGCCTATGGTCCCCAGTACCTATGTTCCCAAGTAAATATTTTACCCAGAACATATGTTCCCAAGGACCTATATAGTCCCCATTACCTATGTTCCCCATTACCTATGTTCCCTGGTGCCTATGGTCCCCAGTACCTACTGTATGTTCCCAAGTAAATGTGTTCTCCAGTACATATGTTCCCACGGACCTACTGTATGTTGTAAATGGTAGCAATCAAAGGGTGTTATCCCTATGTTCCCTGCACCTATGTTCCCAAGGACCTATTCCCCATTACCTGTGTTACCCAGTATGTTCCCAATGTTGTATATTCCCMAGTACCTATGTTATAAATGCTATCAAAGGGGGTCGTCCCTATGTTTCTTGGTACCTATATTCCCTGGTCATTCCCAGCAATACCTGACAAAAGCTCATTAATTAAAACATTTTATCATTAGGTAGTATGTGACAGAGTGTTGAAGGTAAACAAATTGCTTTTTTTTAACGAGCTTTAGAGATGTCAAAAGACTTTAGCTCTTTTGGGGGTTAGCTATGTTTCCTGTTTCCATAAGTTTGTACAAAAAGATGGCTGTATAGCTCCAAATGAAGAAAAGTACACTTCTTAAATTTAATAAATTAGCGGTATATTTAAAGGAAAAAAGTAAAACCAGTGGATATAAAAATGTAAAAACTGTTCTTGAGTTGTGTTGAGAGGGTCAGGAATGGAAGAAGTTCTTCTTCAGGAGAAAAAGAAAGTTAAAAGCTGCTGGAATCAAAGGGTGTACCACCAAAATATTAGACGAGCAGACTGAACAAAGCTATAAGAAAGAACAAATGAGACCATTTCAGATTAAAAGTGAAAAACCCACATGTTCTGTGAAGTGAAATGTCATGCAACACAAAGGTTAGTAGAAACAAGTGATGATGGGAGAGTGAACCTGTTCAAATCATCAGTTACAGGTGGAAAGAAAGTTGTTAATTTATACCAGATCATGAGAAGAAGAGGCACAAAAAAAGATTAAAAGGAGAAGTATTGACAGCATTACTGAGTTGTCAGCGTTTTCTTCACTGTGGGTTCCATTCTGCAGAATGAGTTTCTTGTCAGCCTGTAGGGCTTCCTGCATCATGGAGATAATGAAGTTTAACACAAATAATTAAAGATAATGAAGTTTAACAAAGAAATAATCAAGAATGAGACCGTCTGCTTCTAAGATAAATACAAACACTATCAACCCATGTTTTCTTTAGACGACTGTAACAAATTCAGCTTGTGGTGAAATCAAAACAGATGTGTGTATAACATTTAAACATTTATGTTTTTAAACTCTGAAGCAGCTTAATGACTGACTGAGCATCTGGAAAAATTAGAAACCAGACGCTGTGACCTTTCTGCAACACTGAAATGATGGCTGCAAGTTAAAATACAATGAATGTATCATGCTACCTGGCTCACTGATGTTGCTTAGTATTTGTAACCGACTGAAGTTGTGTAATGTTGATGAGCTGTGGCAGTGACGATTCATTGATTATTTTCTGAAAGTTCCATTAAAAGTGGATATTTTGCTAACAAACATATATGCACACAGTTAGATTATATGGCAGCAGTCACTAACTAATTCCTGAAAACAAAATTAAAATATATCTGAGATTTGGTAAAACTGGATGTTGTTGAACTGATTTAATTACTGGAAAAATTGGTTTCCATTAAACAATTTAAAATACAAATGTAAAAATAAAGAGGCAAAAAAATGCATTCGAATGAGCAAAGTGCTAACAGATCAGAAACATTGTTGCTCATAAAAACTGCACAAAATACATTTTAGGAAGTAAAGATTGAGGAAAAGATGTCACCAAGCTGACGTGCAGCAAGAGAATGACAATATTTTAAAAAAGATTATTTGTGTTATATCAGAATCTGGAGAAATCTTTAGCAAACAATGTGAATAAAAAATCCATCCAGTAGTCCACTAATTTACTAATGTGAGCTAAAACTATAAGAAAAAGAAAAACTTCCCTCTGTGTGGTAAATTCACATTGTAGAGTAACATCAAAGCCCAGTTGTGGAGTTTTTAAATAAATCTTTGTTTACTCAAAATTATATAAAAAACTTTTACATCTGTGTGTGGCTCTGAAAACAGCTGGAAACAAAATGATGAAATATTAAAGAAAAGGCATGACATTAACAGTCTGACACACAAACAGAAAAATGTGTTTTTCGTTCATAAAACAAAGCTTAAAATATTTCCAACCTTAGATCCAGGAGGAGGGGGCAGCCCCAGGAAAGCAAACACTGAGTTGTCCTCCTTGGCGTCAAAGAATGTGTCATAATCCTGCATGAAGAAAAGAAACGTTCTTTTTTTAAGTGATGTAATCTACACTGTCTTCTGTTGACAAACAACAAAAAATGACACTGCACTATACCAACACGGTTTATGTGTGTTGTGCTTCTTGACATGCTCACCCCGCAGTAGCTGTCTTCGTTGAAAATCTGTGGAGGCAGAGGGATGCCGTTGGCGGGTTTCTTCTCCTCTGGGACGTTCTGCCTCATCCACATGCGGTTGTCCTCATTGCAGGCGATGTCCAGCTCAGTGTAGTCCACCTTAAGAGCCTCCAAGAAGCCCACCACATCTTGTTGCTTCTTCTTGATCTGGGAGGCAAAAAAGTGGATAACTTTTGGAGAAACTTTTTCAAAACGATGAGGCACTCTTGTGATCAGAAAAGTCTAATTCATCTTTCTAGTGTTTGTTCAGTTTTGTTGAGTTACAAGCTGTAATGTATTGGAAGGGTAGTGGATTTGTTGCTAAATGGCAAAGATTTGTTTGTTCCAGTCCTTCAAATGCAAGCTTGAGCACTAATTTTTTTTTTCATCCATCCATTGTCTTGCATTTGTTTCTAAGTCAGGTTGCTGGTGCAGCAGGTTGAGCAGGGAGGCCCAGACATCAAAGCCAACTCAGCTCTTTCAGGAGGACTCCAAGCAGTTCAAGGTCAACCAAGAGACATGGTCTCTCCAGCGTGTCCTGGGACTCCCCTAGGTCTCCTCCCTGATGCTTCCACCTCAACCTGTCCCTCTGTGGAGGAGCAGCAGCTCTACCCTGAATTTATCCCAGAGAACCGAACATCTCATCTATCTTTAACCATGATCTCTTCAAATAGATGTCTCATTGCTAATTTTAGGCTTGTGCCAGCAGTGCTGATTTGTCTAAAATTTAGCTTTCAACCTTTAAATTAATGAAATTAAATTGAATCTGGCAGGGCCACTCCCTAAAAAAACATTTATTCTTGGTTAGCGGGTTGGAATAAAAATGAAAGGTACTCAGAATTCAATTTGCTCTGTAGTTGTTTAGTTTTCTTTTTGAGATAGTTGTGGCTTAATTAATATAAAAAAAAGTTTTCACTGTTAGTTCATGTTTTTAACTACCCATATTATAAAAATCAGACAGCATATTTGTGTGTCACCAGTAATGTGGGCATGACACTACAGTATAAAGACAATGTAATGTTCTGTAGTAACAAACTCAGTCTTTGGGGTGAATTAAACTATATTATTATTTAATTTTTAAAAACAGATTTATATCATTCTAACCACTAAAAAAGCTTCTGAATACACGTCAAAGAATGCTTGCTGAAGGTTTCACGGCTTTCTCTAAAAAACATATAATATTAACAATTTTTTATGATGAATGACAACTTTTCACACTTATTATTTTACCTGAACATATTGGTTTCATTTAAAAGTTATTTTAATCTTTTAATTGAAATCATGTGTTTTCAACAAATAAAACTTTATATGACATAAATTGTTACCAACCCTTTTAACACAGGGCTGTAAAAGTTTGGTCAAGTTAGGACCACCATGCCAATAATAAAAATAATAAAAAAAAATACTTATTTAAAATGCAGAACCTCCCTGTTAACTGTGCCAACCAAACAACCACAGCCTGCTCACTCAGACTGACAGGTTCACTTATCCTGACTTATTGTTGGTTGTTAGCTGGGTTCCAAACTCTTGCTAAGACCATGTGAGGTCTAAAGAGGCTGGAAGTTTGGGAGCTTCTGGAAAGCTCTGCGTGGGAGATCCATGGACCCAATCACACAAAGAAACAGCTCCAACATAAATCTGTCTACACAACAAGACAGAGATCTGCCCCTAAAGGCGTTCAGAACAGAAAACTATACATTAGTTTGGGAAGAACAACATGCAAAGTTCACCCTGAAGAGAACTTACCGCTGTGGATCCTGAGGAAGAGGCGAGGAAGACTTTGATCACCATTTTATGGGTTAATTTTTGTAGAATACAAGCAACAAGGTGGGTCTTAAAGGAGCAGTCAGCCTCTTCTATTATTAGATTGCACCCAGCAGGACTGTGAAACACTGAGAACCACACACACACACACACATACACACATACTGCTGGGGGGTATTTTTGTCCCCAGGATTCATTAGAGAGGGATTGGTGAGTGGACTGGCTCCTTTAGGGGGGGGGCAGTGCCACACATACTGATTGGCAGCTTCAGCTGTCCATCGGTCCGAAGGAATGGACAAGCTGGGTCCCAGCTCCGTGTGAAGACGACAGAAATAGCAGCAGGTCTGCAGGGTTGGAAGAGAGCAGGTTCTGAGTCTCAACAGGGACCTGAAATGTGCAGGAAACACCAAACRCAAACAGCTCAGGAAAACTGTTTTCTACTTTCTCTAAAGGTTCAGTTTTTTTTTAATTTATGGGTTTATTTTCAGGTGTTTCTTTTACTTTATGTGACTCAAAAAATTAAACTAAACCCCAAGAATTTCTCATCAAACCACATCAGCTTTCTTCTATGGAGCTCAATAAAAATACTGAATGTTGATTCAGCATTCACACTGTTGTTTTATTCGTTTATTATTGTTATTTTTGATTTATCCACTTTTTTTTTTCAATCTAACTACAGCATGATTTGTTTAAAACGTTCAAATATCAAAACGTTCAGCTCATTCAGCAGATGGGTGTTTGTAACTTTAAAACTTTTCAAAACAATTAGTGCTGAGCACTGTGAGTTTTGTCTTCTTGTGCTTCTTTTAGCTTTTCATTAGCCTTTGGCTACTTTTTAGCTTCTAGCCTTTTGCTACTTTGCTCATTTTGAGATTTTATTGTCCTAAAATTTGGCTAGCTATTTGGCCTTTTGTGTCTTTTAGCAAGACTTTTGGCAACTTTTAGGTTTTAGTTGGCTTTTAGCCATTTGTCCTGATGCATCTCAGTAATCCAGGTAAAAAATCAAAAGGAAAAAAATTGTATAGGTCCTCTGGACGGGTTCTTCT